TTTCCGAATGCCGTCCTTCTGGCCCCCGGCCGGAGCTTAGGGGCACCCTGGTTCCTGTCCACTCTCGCCCCACGTCCAGCCCATCAGCGCAGGCCTGTTGGCCCAGCCTTGGGTACGTCCGCAGGGCACACACTCCTCCCAGCCGCCTTGTGCCAGCCTGCGCCCGGCCAGGTGCTGCTCCTCCCAGTCTTCCTGTCTGGCGTGATCGAGGTGCACTTGGCGCCTTGAAGGAGCCTCCTCTCCTCTCCTCATATAGATTTAACAGATTGTTCATTCATTCATCAAACAGTGATGGGCATGTGCTCCGTGCAGGCACAGGAGTGACTGTGATGGAGAAGACCCTATCACGGCCTGGCCTGGGAAGGGGAGCTCTTGTTCCGGGGTTTGAGGGAAGAGACACGCCACCAGCATGATGTCATCATAGCCACACAGGTCGTGTACTAGAACGTCATGGAAGGAAGGCTTCCTGGAGGAGGAGGGATTGGGGCTGGGCCTTGGGGGACGGGCACTTCCACGGTGGAGCGTGGAGCATGGGCACCCAGGCAGTGGACGCAGCACCTGCAGAGAGTGGGTGAGCCAGATGGTTATCTTCAGCACACAGAAAATGCCCCAGAGATAAGGAACTTTTGACCAAGGGTGGGGTTTTAGTCCAAGAATTTTTATAGACCGACATTTCTTGTCCAACGATTGCTGGTGAACCTGGGGTTTATCAGAGGTGAGCAGGGGTGATCTCGAAGGCTCAGCCCAGAATCACTTGTGGGAGAGACTAGGCCCGGGAACCTGTTGTTTTCTCCAAGATGCTGTGGTTCTATAAAAAAAAAACAAACCAAAGAAAAAAACCCCTAAAATTCTTCTCATCTCTTGCTTTACCCAAATATGGAGAGAACGTTCAGGGGAAAATGTTAAAACAATAATCTGTAAAGGCCCAAAAATGTTTGCACAAAAGAAAAAAAAAAAACTTTGGATGTATAAACAAGGCTCCACTTCAAAGATCGCTGACTTTGGTTTGGCACATTCCGAAGAGGGGGAAGTGCGGGAGAAATGAGTCACCCTGGCGGAATGGCTTGGGAGCAGACCCATGCCAGTGTCCGTGGAGGGGACACAGGTGAGGGGCCTGCCACCTGCCACTGTCCCTGCTGCTCCACGTGGACACTCCGAAAAGGTTTTTACAAAAAAAAAAAACATTTTGTATTTTAATTTCCCCTCTTATAAAGTGATCAGGACACTGAGCTTTCAGTCTGCCTTTGGGTCCGTTTATACGTCTGGATCCATCCGACCGTCCTCCTGAACCCTGGCCTGGCGGACGTGCTCCGTGGGAGGCTGAGAAGCAGGAAGTTCCGTGACACGAAAGGTTAATACAGCCCAGCCCTTCACAGGCCTCCTCTGAATCTGAAACATGAGCAGCTCACGGGCTGGAAATGCTTGACCCAGAAACGTTCCTCCAGGCGCCAGAGAGGCCCGATGCGGTCAGCTTCCGCACTCCTTTCCTTCAGAAGTCGGAGAAGTTGCCGGAAATGCCCACTGCCGCGAGCACCTGCTTCCGTGTTGGTGAACATTTGTTCCAGATGTTCTGGAAGCCGAGCTTTTTTTTTTTTTTTGAGACAGAGTCTCGCTTTGTTGCCCAGGCTAGAGTGAGTGCCGGTGTCCAGCCTAGCTCCACAGCAACCTCCAAACTCCTGGGCTCAAGCGATCCTCTGCCTCAGCCTCCCCAAGTAGCTGGACTACAGGCATGCGCCACCATGCCCGGCTAATTTTTTCTATATATATTAGTTGGCCAATTAATTTCTTTCTATTTATAGTAGAGACGGGGTCTCGCTCTTGTCAGGCTGGTTTCAAACTCCCTGACCTCCAGCAATCCATCCCCGGCCC